CAATAATTGTGTGATATCACCTGCAGCGGAAAGTGGGATGTGAGGGAGCATCAGCTACTACTTGATATCACCTGCAGCGGAAAGTGGGATGTGAGGGAGCATCAGCTACTACTTGATATCACCTGCAGCGGAAAGTGGGATGTGAGGGAGCATCAGCTACTACTTGATTTCACCTGCAGCGGAGAGTGGGTGTGACGGAGCATCAGCTACTATACTCCTCACAAAAAATTAAGCAACAAGTATTATTTTCCGTGCAACATTCTCATCAGTGTTGAATGCCATCCATTGAGAACAAATTCAGGCAGGAGAATTACCTACGAATACTCGACTTAAAGCCTTTTCCATGTAGATTTTCCTGATAACACTGATAACATCGCCTGAACACAACCATCCTCAAAACACACATGCAAAATGCACGACATGCATGTTTTACACACTTCACCCATGCACCCTGATTGCTTAAAAACTGCCAGCAAGGGCAATTTGTCGACATTAACACTTTTGACATGGCTAGGCGTCACTTAACGCCAACTGAGGTTGCTCAGATTGTTGGAATGGTACAGGGGGGTCTCATCCAAACTGCTGTTGCCGATCATTTTAATGTTCACCGCAGTGTCATCTCAAGAGCAATAACTCGATACCATCAAACTGGACTGATGACAGAGAGACCACGCACAGGTCGTCCAAGGGTGACAACTCCTCGTGAGGACCGGTATTTAGCCACCCTAGCCTGGAGAAACAGGTTTACTACGGCCAGATCTCTCCAGAATGACCTTCAGAGAGTTGCAGGAAACAGAGTCTCAACACAGACAGTAAGAAAAAGACTTCACGCTCAGGATCTGAGGTCCAGACGACCAGTACGACCTATCCCACTGCCTGCACACCATCGACAACAGGGACTTGCTTGGGCCAATCAACGCCGTAACTGGAGGGTCAATCGCTGGCGTAACGTTCTCTTCACAGACGAGGCAAGATTCTGCCTTGACTTCAACGGTGTTAGGGCATGTTTGTGGAGAAACCGTAATGAACGATACGCCAACAGTACAATTGCTGAACATGACCAGTACGGAGGTCGAAGTTTGATGATCTGGGCTGGCATCAGGGTTGGACACAGAACTGATCTTGTGGTCATCAGACGTGGTACCATGAGTGGAGTACGGTACAGGGACGAGATTGTCACACCTGTGATCATTCCCCTGGCAAGAGCAAGAGTTGTCACTGATCTTCTTCAGACCAACAACATCATGCATATGGACTGGCCTGCAAGGTCTCCGGATCTTAATCCCATTGAGCATGCATGGGACATTCTGGGAAGGCGTGATTATGGTTTTCATGTTCGTCCTCAGAATCTGGATCAACTTGAACAGGCCTTAAGGACAGAATGGCAGAACATTCCACAACAAACACTTGATAGGCTTATCTGGTCAATGCCAAGACGTGTAGAAGCTTGCATTCAAGCCAATGGTGGACATACACGTTACTGAACATTGGATCGTTGTTTCAAAATGATTTAAACTCAAATTTAAAGATTTTCATCTTTCAGTGCAGCACATTTTGCATGACTGTTTTCATGATACTGTTTTTGATCATTTGTAAACCTATTAGGCATAAACGCTTTTCAGTTCCCTTTGAGGACAATGTGTGTCTGTGCTCTTTCTTTGTATTGTTTAAGTCAGTTTTTAGGTATTGGAATATATGAACATGGACTGACACATAATAGATTTGTTGCTTAACTTTTTGTGAGGAGTAGACCTGATATCACCTGTAGTGGAGAGTGGGGTGTGATGGAGCATCAACTACTACTTGATATCACCCGAGCGGAGAGTGGGGTGTGAGGTAGCATAAGCTACTACTTGATATCACCTGCAGCGGAGAGTGTGCACACACTGTTACTGTTACTGTTACTGCTTGGTTATGTGCACCAATGTGCCTTCTGGGTAATGTGCACACTGTTACTTCTGGGTTGTGTGCACAGTGTACCTTCTGGGTTATGTGCACCAATGTTCCTTCTGGGTCCTGTGAACATTATGTTCCTTCTGGGTCCTGTGAACATTATGTTCCTTCTGGGTCCTGTGAACATTATGTTCCTTCTGGGTCATGTGAACATTATGTTCCTTCTGGGTCCTGTGAACATTATGTTCCTTCTGGGTCCTGTGAACATTATGTTCCTTCTGGGTCATGTGAACATTATGTTCCTTCTGGGTCCTGTGAACATTATGTTCCTTCTGGGTCCTGTGAACATTATGTTCCTTCTGGGTCCTGTGAACATTATGTTCCTTCTGGGTCATGTACACCAATGTTCCTTCTGGGTCCTGTGAACAGTATGTTCCTTCTGGGTCATGTACACCAATGTTCCTTCTGGGTCCTGTGAACATTATGTTCCTTCTGGGTCCTGTGAACATTATGTTCCTTCTGGGTCATGTACACCAATGTTCCTTCTGGGTCATGTGAACATTATGTTCCTTCTGGGTCCTGTGAACATTATGTTCCTTCTGGGTCATGTACACCAATGTTCCTTCTGGGTCATGTGAACATTATGTTCCTTCTGGGTCCTGTGAACATTATGTTCCTTCTGGGTCCTGTGAACATTATGTTCCTTCTGGGTTATGTACACCAGTGTTCCTTCTGGCTTATGTGCCTCAGTGTTCCTTCTGGTTTATGTGCACCAATGTTCTTTCTGGGTCCTATGAACATTATGTTCCTTCTGGTTTATGTGCACCAATGTTCTTTCTGGGTCCTGTGAACATTATGTTCCTTCTGGGTCCTGTGAACATTCTTCCTTCTGGGTTATGTGCACTAATGTTACTTCTGGGTAATGTGCACCAATGTTCCTACTGGGTTATGTGCCTCAGTGTTCCTTCTGGTTTATGTGCACCAATGTTCCTTCTGGGTTATGTGCCTCAGTGTTCCTTCTGGTTTATGTGCACCAATGTTCCTACTGGGTTATGTGCCTCAGTGTTCCTTCTGGTTTATGTGCACCAATGTTCCTTCTGGGTTATGTGCCACAGTGTACCTTCTGGGTTATGTGCACCAATGTTCCTTCTGGGTCCTGTGAACATTATGTTCCTTCTGGGTCCTGTGAACATTATGTTCCTTCTGGGTCCTGTGAACATTATGTTCCTTCTGGTTTATGTGCACCAGTGTTCCTTCTGGCTTATGTGCCTCAGTGGTCCTTCTGGTTTATGTGCCTCAGTGGTCCTTCTTGGTGATGTGCACCAATGTTTATTCTGGGTTATGTGCACCAATGTTCCTTCTGGGTCCTGTGAACATTATGTTCCTTCTGGGTTATGTGCACCAGTGTTCCTTCTTGGTTATGTGCACCAATGTTCCTTCTGGGTCCTGTGAACATTATGTTCCTTCTGGGTCCTGTGAACATTATGTTCCTTCTGGTTTATGTGCACCAATGTTCCTTCTGGGTCCTGTGAACATTATGTTCCTTCTGGGTCCTGTGAACATTATGTTCCTTCTGGGTTATGTGAACATTATGTTCCCTCTGGGTCCTGTGAACATTATGTCCCTTCTGGGTCCTGTGAACATTATGTTCCTTCTGGCTTATGTGCCTCAGTGTTCCTTCTGGTTTATGTGCACCAATGTTCTTTCGGGGTCCTATGAACATTATGTTCCTTCTGGGTTATGTGCACCAATGTTTCTTCTGGGTTATGTGCACCAATGTTTCTTCTGGGTTATGTGCACCAATGTTCCTCCTGGCAATGTGCACGCAAGATGAAAGAAAATGTTTTGCAGAAGGCAACAGCAGGACATTTTGGAAAACAGAGGAACAAGATGTGTTGATGTATAAAGGAAAACATGTCTTGAAGTGGGAAGGAACAAGATTTGTTGAAGTATAAAGGAAAACATGCCTTGAAGTGGGATGGAACAAGATTTGTTGAAGTATAAAGGAAAACATGTCTTGAAGTGGGATGGAACAAGATGTGTTGATGTATAAAGGAAAACATGTCTTGAAGTGGGAAGGAACAAGATTTGTTGAAGTATAAAGGAAAACATGCCTTGAAGTGGGATGGAACAAGATTTGTTGAAGTATAAAGGAAAACATGTCTTGAAGTGGGATGGAACAAGATGTGTTGATGTATAAAGGAAAACATGTCTTGAAGTGGGAAGGAACAAGATTTGTTGAAGTATAAAGGAAAACATGTCTTGAAGTGGGATGGAACAAGATGTGTTGATGTATAAAGGAAAACATGTCTTGAAGTGGGATGGAACAAGATGTGTTGATGTATAAAGGAAAACATGTCTTGAAGTGGGAAGGAACAAGATTTGTTGAAGTATAAAGGAAAACATGTCTTGAAGTGGGAAGGAACAAATGTTTTGTGGTAGTAAGGATAAAGATGTTTTGCATTGGGAAGGAAAGTGGTGTTTAGTGGTAGGCAGGTACAGTTTGTCTTGGAGATGAAAAGAAAAAGATGTTTTAAAGAATGGAGGAACACGGTGCTTTGCAGATGAAAAGAAAATAACGTTTTGAAGAATGGAGGGGCAATGTGTTTTGCAGATGAAAGGAACAACTTGTTTTGAAAAAGGGGGAACAAGATGTTTTGCAGATGAAAGGAAGTAGTTTTGGAGAATGGAGGAACAGGGTGCTTTGCAGATGAATAGAAAAAGATGTTTTGAAGAATGGAGGAACAGGGTGCTTAGCAGATGAATAGAAAAAGATGTTTTGAAGAATGGAGGAACAGGGCGCTTTGCAGATGAAAAGAAAAAGTTGTTTTGAAGAATGGAGGAACACGGCGCTTTGCAGATGAAAAGAAAAAGATGTTTTGAAGAATGGAGGAACAATGTGTTTTGTAAATGAAAGGAACGACTTGTTTTGAAAAAGGGGGAACAAGATGTTTTGCAGATGAAAGGAAAAATATGTTTTGAAGAATGGAGGAACAAGGTGCTTTGTAGATGAAAGGAACAAGATGTTTGCAGTGGTAACTCTGTTTGCATGTCATCTCTACATTAAGTCTAATTATTCCACAAACAAAAAACCTGTGAAAAACAAATTATTGGACATAGTTCTTTATTCAAATAAATTAGATGTAAAAAAATTAATCAAAATGTTCAGTTTATATTCATGCATATGTTGACTAAATATCACTCCATTCCCTCAGTAGAAATAACATAAGATTGTAACACTGATTGCCAGTGTTAAGTAGCATGCTCAGTGGCACCTACATACAGTCCTACCAGTCACCTCACACCTTCTGGGGTACATGCACAGTATGTCCCTCCATCTGGGGATACCTGGGACAGTCAGAAGGGTTCAGGATGCCACAACACACATACATACATACTTAATTGAATGTTTGCTTTCCTTATCAATTCCCAACAATCACCAATGTTTCCAAATCTATTTCACATCACAGTCATGTGCACAATTTATCATAGTTGTCATATAATGGCCAGACATATACATACAGTATGCCAATATGGGTTGTGTCTGTTTTCTGTAAAAATATCATAACCTTGATGAAGATCACACAACCTCCCTTTTTCAATTCTCACACAATCCTTGAAACTCCAATTCCTTTCAGTCAATATTCTGCTGTCCCAGGACAAAGAGTATCTGCTAGATGGTGTAGATCAAGGCTCAAATCTAATGAGTGCCAAACTACTTCTCAGTTTGTTCAATGTCCTTTTCAGCTCTGCAGGAACCATGATTGACATATTTCTGAGTGAACGTTAACAGCTAGGTGCAAAATTATTGTTTCAAGCTACATAAATTGGAAAGAAGACATCCCACTATTCATTGGTCCTGGATGTGAAGCCTAATGCCTACCTGCTGATACAGAATCTGAAGTACTATTTCCATCGTAGTCTGTTTACTACTTCACAATACGTGTATCATACTTGTGCTAAAAGGAATATGAGTTTCACACAATTATAACAGATCAAACAAAAACCTAATTTAACAAGATTAAAATATGTTGGTGATAAAACCCTATTCAATAACAAAAACCTATGCTGATAAAACCCTATTCAAAACAGATAAAAGTCAAGAAATGATATCAACAACAACCTCATAACTTCAGATAAAACTCTGCTAATGTTTGTCATAACCTGTTCAAATTCATATCTGAAAATAGTTTTAAAAAAGTGATCAGATCTGACGGTTTATCTCACTGCCTAAGACATTTCCAATAACATCTGCTGATGGGGTGATATAGTCTCATGAAGGTGAGTGAATTTTGTTTGACGTTGTGTACATTTCATATATATTATGGAGTGTCAGCTCATGTGGGAGGAAAAAGTGATGGCAGTCACATTAACCCTTCAGATAAAACCAAAGAGCATCCTGGCCTAAAAGGGATGATAATCAGTGTGAAATTTGGATTGCAACTCACTACTAGCAGATCCTGCAGCTGCAACACAACAATTTACGTTTCAGGACATCTGGAGGTTTTTTAAAATCACAGGTATAAAGATGTACAAAAACATGAATACTGTATAAAAATAGCAAATTGTACACTTGTTCCCATGCCTCAAATGGCACCATCCTTCAACAGACAGGGAAGCAAGCATCCAACACGAAGTACACAACATGGAGGACATGTAAAACAGGGTCCTAGTCACCTCACAAAGTCACCTTCAGGTCCTGGTGACACATACAAAATAGCATCTGAATATGAACATTGTTATATGTACATCTACACATATTTATATTGCTACCTAGACAATTAAACAAACTACATACATGGCTACACACTACTGAAGAGTATTTCCAATGATCATGTCACCAACCACAATGTTTTTCACTCACACAAGAAACACAGGAAATCCCTATTTCATCTTGTATTTCAAATCTGATGTTTCAATAATCACGTTTATTATGAATAATGCCTGCAAATAGCCCTTCATCAGTAACAGAGAAACACACAAGTAATTGTTGACACTGAATGGTATCACTGTTAATGTGTGTTTGTTTTTGATTCAATAAATCATTTAACAAGTTTAAACAAGAGCAATACTGACAGGGGTTTCAAAGAGAGGGGCGCAACAACTCTCAAGTGGACGCACACGCACGCACGCACGCACGCACAGACACACACACACACACACATACGGACACACAAACACACAGACAGAGAGGGCTGCATCTCAACTCTCAAGTGGACGCACACACACGCATGCACACACACACACACACACAGACACAGACACATACGGACACACAAACACACAGACTGAGAGAGGGCTGCATCTCAACTCTTAAGTGGACACGCACGCACGCACGCACGCACGCACGCACACACAGACACATACGGACACACAAACACACAGACTGAGTGAGGGCTGCATCTCAACTCTTAAGTGGACGCACACACACGCATGCATGCACGCACGCACACACAGACACAAACACACAGTCACAAACACACAGACTGACAGAGGGCTGCATCAACTCCAGTAGGTATACTCACACACAAAAGTTAAGCACAAGTACCTGTATATTTTTATAGAAATAGCAAATTTATTGAATATTTATAAAATCAAGTCTATGTTTTGGATAAAAAACATTGTTGTGGTAACATTGCATATCTAATAACATGTCTTGAAATGGAGATACACACACCCACCCACCCACACACACACACACACAGACAGACTGACAGACAGACAGACAGACAGACAGACAGACAGACAGACAGACAGACAGACACACACAGACACACACACACTGTCATGCACCCAGCTGCAGATACATCCACTCTGTTGTTGGAACTTAACACACAGGCCATCTGGCACAATAAAGAACTGCACACACAGGCCATCTGGCACAATAAAGAACTGCACACACAGGCCATCTGGCACAATAAAGAACTGCACACACAGGCCATCTGGTACAATACAGAGCACACCACATGGCTCCTCACAACCCACACTGTAAGGGTCTACACAGGCTGCAGCAAGCATTGGACACTTCAAACATACACCTTGCTAGTTCCTGTCTGTTGGTGACATAGAGCCACATGGTCAGTAGCCCCATGGACGTCATGTACAAACCTGCATCAGACTGCTCTGAGTCAATTCTTCATAACAAATAATACTTGCTGACATTATGAGTCTTCATGAATTACATCCAAACAACACAGCATGAAAATACAGAACAAATGGACAGAAAAGCTTCAAATTAGAACGTATACTCTCTGTAACACCACGTGTAACTTGAGCACAGTTCCCTGATTTTACCCTGATGCAATGCTGACCTTGATTGGGGTACAAAAATAGAAGTTCTCTATGCATCACAATAGTGATGCTTCACACCATCTCATCTCATCACTAACCTCCAAATAGAAAGAGTAATTCTTCTCATGTTTTACAGTAAAACATCTTCACACTATGGCAATGAGACATTGTGGCTCTTTCTGAATCTTTCAGAAATATTTGAGCCTGCATGTAAATCATCCCTACCTCTCATATCAACACACCATATCCCAGCCTATGATTCTCCACTTCCAAATAAAACATAAAACAGTGACATTCTGAGAGTCCAGACATGGGGGATAAATCTGTTTGGAGATGTTGTTGTACGAATAGGATGCAGCTTTGGCTGGACATGGATTTATCCCTCTTCTGGAACCGACAATAATGCTGTAAAATGTTTAGTAGCTTATATCTCAATATGTGTACATCACAGTCATTCTGAGTTCCGAGCTCCCAGCAAGGAATGTATGCCATGATGGATGCAGACAATCTGGGTTGCTACGTTCTGCTGACCTCCATTGAAACATTTTCAGGAGCAGGAATTGGTCCAGGGTGGGTTGTGGCAGAACCCTCACCGTCAATGTCTACCCTGAACTGACATTGCATCAGACTCCAATCTGATCCCTGCACAATACCCAGGCTGTTTGGTGAGATTTAGATTTGATGGAGATGGAGGAGAATATGGACAAAAGGGCAGGTGTATCCATGAGTGTTAACTAAATATAGTCAACAAAATGTGGCAAGACATTACTGGTCATTAGAGACAATGAATATAATCTACACTAAACATAACAGTCTTAATCAGATAATGGTTGAAATAATCTCACTGAATATTGAGCAACAGAAAGAGTAAATGTATTACTTTACCTCAATTTTGCTAACAGTTTACATCTTCATCAGACATTTCACGAACACCAACCGAAGCATCCTGTAATCCACAGACAGATCTGTTAATTCAGATCGGGAATTAAGTACAGTGCCCCTGTCAAGTGTGTGTTTGGCACTGTTCACAAACTTCAATGTTAGTGTGGTTAAATAATATCAGGAATGCATTTCCCTCATAACCCAAACACATATATACAGACCATCACAATCAAATCAATGCCCACAGGTTGACTTGAAAAAGATCATCACAGACGTCTGGAAGGGTGTTCCACTCGGCTCTTATAAAGTCCTCTACACATGAACCACTTGTCACCATGATGACCACAAGATGACACAGAGAGCAGAGGTGCGATGAAGACCTTGGGTTACATGTTGAGTTTGTGCATCTATCTTTCTTTCATGTAAAATGGGAATCACTTTCTCATGTTTAAATTCTTCTTCATGTAAAATGGGAATCACATTCTCATGTTCAAGTTCTTCTTCATGTAAAATGGGAATCACATGATCCCTTGCTATAGCCTGCGAGACAGATCTGTTACAGAGATTCAACAAGGTACTCACACACTACAACCATACTCACTTATATTTAAGTTTTTGTTGACTGCTGAATCTTGGTTACAAACTTGCTGTCATCCATCATTCAGTCATCTCCTCTATCATTCCAATAATCCTTCAGGTCAAGTTGAAAGATGGACGATATTTCTAGATACCAATCAAAACCATTTATCCTATTTAAGTGAATACTAAACATGGTCAGACAAATCCCACTCTACCATAGACAAACATGTTCTACCCCAGCATAACCTCCTTTGGTCAATATGGACTAAGAGATTTCAATCTTTTTGACCAGGAGGGGTCAATCTTGATAAGTGTCATCATGGTAAACAAAGGTGGATAACTTCGTCACACAGTGAACCTGCACTCATCCTCACAGCTTGCCTTACACTTAAAATAGTACACTGTAAAAACTAGATAAAAGCAACTGAATAGGAATGTTTGTTCCTTGCAACATATACATGAGTCATAAAAATGTTCCATATTTACAATATGACCAGTTTGTACCAGTGGGGTTTTCTTCACAGAACTAGGACCATGAAGTGCTGCAATCTGCCTGACACAGGTCAACAGGAGGGGAGTCCGGGATGATGGGAAGAGTCAAACAAGGTGTAGCATCTCTCGTTGACACAGATCATCTTCAGGACGACACAAGGGGAACATTCTCAATCTCATTAATATCAGATCTTAGTCCTCGCTCCCGCTAAACAAAGATCTGAGGACATCTCATTATGGGTCACGTCAGACTGACCTTTCACGAACTTTGACCAAACACTGGAATGAATGACAAGAAGTCGACATTAGCCAATCAGAAGACAGCTTTCTCAATATGGCCTTATGGCACTAGTTTGAAACTCGCAAATACGCTTTGAAAAATATTTTGACAAATTCCTAATTAAAACTTTGAAAATGGAACAAACGAACATTTTGGAATTGCTAAAAGATGGATTGCATGGATTCAGTCATAAAGCCCGTCACTTTTGTTCGGAATACCCTGTGTTAATGCTTTCATGGTTGCATGATTAGAAAATCATATTCTGACTGTCACTTTCATGATCTGGTAAGCGACGTTCTGATTGGTCGGATGAAAGGTCGTTCTGACATGACCGGTAATGGGATGACCTTTGTTTAGCGGAAGCGAGAACTAAGATCTGATTTTACTAAGATCGGTAACATTCTGTGCAGCCATTTACTGCGATGATGTCCCTGATCTACGTGTCCTCCAGGATCCCAGTTTTTGGAAAGTTAATGGCTCGCATCAGAGAGAAACTAGAAACATACATATGAGACCGCTGGTTGTGGAAAGACAGTTCGGTGGAGAGTCATGTCCGAGTCTCATAGTAAACCTAGCCGAGATAACGCCATCTGGCGTCGTAATCGAGTGATTTCCAAGAATGTATCTTTATCTGAAACAAAGCAAAGTAATGTGGGCACAAGTTACAATTCTGAGTTTACATCATGCATATGTTCCATGCAGGGCTGTGAAGAGTAATTAATCATTAACAGAAGATATAAGCTTAGTGCTAACTTTTTGTAATCCCACGTTATGCGATAAATAGATAATGTTTAATAAATTGGTTTAAACTGGTTTAACTGGGAATACTCAACAAATTTTCACCTACTGATAAAGATTTTAACCCTCAAAGATTATTGGAACATGCATTGCAAGCAGACATTCTGAGAGTGGAGTGTTCATTTGTCCCCATGTTGTGACACAGTCAGCAATATTCCAGCTACAGATGACAGTCTGTGTGTCTAGACGAGGCCTGACTGAGGGTGCAATAAGGATCCCTGTGTCATGCAATCAGTCACTGAATCTGCCCACATGACTCAATATATACTGAACAACAAAAGTTCCTGTGATATTGAATAAGATTTAATGCAAAGTTATGTTTTTTACCAAATCTGAAATAATTTTGGTTTGCAACAGATAAAAGACTCCTGTTAGTTTTCACATGGTTTAATTTGCCATACTGACTTCAGAAAATGTGTGATTTCATAAAAAAAATGAACATGTCAAAATGTCAATTTACAAATCAATAGCGTGTGTGTCCACCTCTGGTTTGCAATGCAAGCAACACATCTTTGTCTCATGGAATGGACCAGGCGTCGCACAAAGTCTTTTGGATGTCTGTCCATATCTGCTGGAGCATGTTTAGAAGTTCCTGGAGTGTCTGTGGAACACGTGGTTGACGTCGAAGGCGCCGATCCATCTCATCCCACATGTGCACATTGGTGAGAGATCAGGGGAGTGAGCTGGCGAGGGGATGACATTCACATTGTTTTGTTGAAGGGGATCCTGTACAAGTCGAGCAATATGAGGCCGGGCATTGTCCTGTTGAAAGGTAATGCCTGCGCCATGACGACACAAAAATGGTAGAACAACAGAGCCGATGATCTTGTCGCGGTAGCGCTGTCCATTGAGATTTCCCTCTAGCACTATCAAACGGGTCTTCCATCTTGCTGTAATCCCACCCCATACCATAACGCTGCCGCCCCCGGACCAATCTTCTTCCATGACTTAATGACTGATGCAACGTTCACCTCGACGTTGGTACACTTGAATCCGTCTATCGCTGTGGGTGAGGTGAAAACGAGACATGTCAGTGAATAGAACTTGTCCCCACTGCATGGTCATCCAGCATAGACACTATCTGCACCACTGTAGAAATCCTTGACAGTGGTTTCCTGTCAAAATGGGACGTCTGGAGGGTCTTCTGGTGACAATCCCTGCACACCTGAGACGGCGACGTACTGTTTGTGAAGATATTCGTCGAAGCCCAGTGATGCTTCTTTCAGTCACTGTTGCTGGCTGGAATCGATTTTGTAGGTGTGTTGCTCGATTCTAGTTGTCTTGTCGATTATTGGTTACTTGTGGCCTGCCACTCCGAGGATGGTCTCTGACTGCATTCGTCTGTTGCCAACGTTGCCATTAACACCAAATGGTGTTTCTGTGGAAGTGAAATTGTCTTGCAACATCACGTTGACTCGATCCTGCTTCAAACCTACCAATGGCTCGCAGACGCTCATTTTTGGACAGACGTGTCATTTCGTAATGTTGAATAATTGCGGAATTTTTTTGTTTTTCTGAGTGGTTGTTGTCAGCACGATGCTAAACAATGCATATGGAATCCTGTTAACACACGTTTTCATACCCATTCTTTGGTAGTGAAATGCATGGGGCTTGCATAAAAGTCAACTTTTGCAAGGAATGCATGCTTTTCTGCAGCAGTTGCGTTTTTGTGACTTGATTCCATACATGTACTACAATATTGAAAACCAAACTTTACTTGTTTGAAATAACTAAAATATCGGTGTCAAAGGAACTTTTGTTGTTGAGTATAGTTAGCCTAAAGACAAGCAATAGTTTCTGGGAAGACTACAGGGCGGTGGGGTAGCCTCGTGGATAAAGCGTGCGCTCGTCATGCTGAAGCCCCGGGTTCAATTTTCCACATTGGTACAATGTGTGAAGCACATTTGTGGTGTCCCCCATCATGATATTGCTAAAAGCGGCGTCACACCATACTCACTCACTCCCAACTAACATGATGTGTCTCCTACCTTCCTGCCTGACCAGCCCTTGGTGTATATACCTGATGTAGGTGTAGAAGTCACACACTGAGGCGATCTGCAAGCAACAACCACACAACACATAGTGCAACATTGTCAGGGCACCCAGTAATTCATCCTGGAGAAAAACATCACGTGTTTCTGGTTACTGGGATTGGTTCATGTGTATACTAGGAATGTATTTCATGTCGAAAGAAAAGTGAAATCACCATTTGAACATAACATAAAAATAATATTCATGTCTGTTTGACAAATGCAACAGTTTAACTACCAACCTAACACTTTTGTGACACACCTGTGGTATTGATCTTCCTACCCTGTTGCGACACATCTGTGATAGTGATCTATCTACCATGTTGTGACACATCTGTGATAGTGATCTACCTACCCTGTTGTGACACATCTGTGATAGTGATCTATCTACCATGTTGTGACACATCTGTGATAGTGATCTACCTACCATGTTGTGACACATCTGTGATAATGATCTTCCTACCATGTTGTGACACATCTGTGATAGTGATCTATCTACCATGTTGTGACACATCTGTGATAGTGATCTACCTACCATGTTGTGACACATCTGTGATAGTGATCTTCCTACCCTGTTGTGACACATCTGTGATAGTGATCTATCTGTCCTGTTGTGACACATCTGTGTTAGTGATCTACCTACCCTGTTGTGACACATCTGTGATAGTAATCTATCTATCCTGTTGTGACACATCTGTGATAGTGATCTATCTACCCTGTTGTGACATCTGTGATAGTGATCTACCTACCATGTTGTGACATCAGTGATAGTGATCTACCTATCCTGTTGTGACATCTCTGATAGTGATCTATCTATCCTGTTGTGACACATCTGTGATAGTGATCTACCTACCCTGTTGTGAAAACTGTGATAGTGATCTACCTACCCTGTTGTGACATCTCTGATAGTGATCTATCTATCCTGTTGTGACACATCTGTGATAGTGATCTATCTACCCTGTTGTGACACATCTGTGATAGTGAACTATCTATCCTGTTGTGACACATCTGTGATAGTGATCTACCTACCCTGTTGTGACACATCTGTGTTAATGATCTACCTACCCTGTTGCGACAAATCTGTGATAGTGATCTATCTGTCCTGTTGCGACACATCTGTGATAGTGAACTATCTACCCTGTTGCGACACATCTGTATTAATGATCTACCTACCCTGTTGTGACACATCTGTGATAGTGAGGTGAGGTGAAATTGGGTTTAACGTCGCGTCCAAGATTATTGCACTTATATAGCGACGTGCGTGCACGTGTATTTGTGTGTGTGGCTGCTTGTACTAGTCCTGACTGATGCCGATTTATAGTGCTAGCTCACTGAGATACCATGCCGCAGTTTAACATGAATACCCCACTCAGACACAGTATACTGACTCCGAGCCGACCAGTCCTTGTTTTAGCCCCTTAATGCCGAGCGCCAGACAGGGTAACAACAAGTACAATCTTTTAACGTCTTTTTGTATGACGCGGCCCGGGATCGAACCCTGGACCTTCCGCTCTCCGGGCGGACGCTCTACCACAAGACCACGGAGGCGGTTCTGTGATAGTGATCTACCTACCCTGTTGTGACACATCTGTGATAGTTTTCTACCTACCCTGTTGTGACACATCTGTGATAGTGATCTATCTATCCTGTTGTGACACATCTGTGTTAATGATCTACCTATCCTGTTGTGACACATCTGTGATAATGATCTATCTATCCTGTTGTGACACATCTGTGATAGTGATCTATCTATCCTGTTGTGACATCTGTGATAGTGATCTACCTACCCTGTTGTGACACATCTGTGATAGTGATCTATCTACCATGTTGTGACACATCTGTGATAGTGATCTACCTACCATGTTGTGACATCTGTGATAGTGATCTACCTATCCTGTTGTGACACATCTATGATAGTGATCTACCTACCCTGTTGCGACACATCTGTGATAGTGATCTACCCACCTTGTTGCGACACATCTGTGATAGTGATCTATCTATCCTGTTGCGACACATCTGTGATAGTGATCTACCTACCATGTTGCGACACATCTGTGATAGTAATCTATCTATCCTGTTGTGACACATCTGTGATAGTGATCTACCTACCCTGTTGCGACACATCTGTGATAGTGATCTACCCACCCTGTTGCGACACATCTGTGATAGTGATCTATCTATCCTGTTGTGACACATCTGTGATAGTGATCTACCTACCCTGTTGCGACACATCTGTGATAGTGATCTACCCACCCTGTTGCGACACATCTGTGATAGTGATCTATCTACCCTGTTGTGACACATCTGTGATAATGATCTATCTATCCTGTTGTGACATCTGTGATAGTGATCTATCTGTCCTGTTGCGACACATCTGTGTTAATGATCTACCTACCCTGTTGCGACACATCTGTGATATTGAGTACCACTCCTGGTCCTCCTCCAGTTTGATCTTGTAGTTGCACAATTTGTTCGTCTCAGTCAGGGAACACTTCCTGAAACAGGTATGTCATTCTCACAACAGTCAAATGACAGATATAGCTTTGTTTGTATGTTTGTTTGTTGTTTAGCGTCACACTCAGCAATTCAGTGATTGATAAGCAATGATCTACACAACTGGGATACAACTTTAATGAAACCCACAAGCATGGGAATGTTGCTGACAGACCTAGAAACATAATTGGGGCAAACCAGGATTTGAATCAAGATCAAAGACTTCGGCCACGTCAAAGGGACGCAACTCTGCACAGTGTATTGTGGCACCTTAGACAGCTGGGCCACCCAGAGCTACATGCTTTACTTAACAGCAGACATCAGATGACACAACTTATCTACTGATTTATTGATTTGTAAATTTTCTAATAAATTGTTTATTTATATCCTATCTCACACCATGCATTTCTTCTTATTCTTCGATCTTGGTGTGGAAACGTCCTAGAACAGAGTTTCCAGCGTCAAAAACACCACTCACCCAAACAGATGCCATACTTCACCAAATCACCACTGTGATCATGGTTCACGCACCACTAAAATCCTGTGCGTCATGACCCAAGTGACCTGATCACCTGACATATCCAGCACCCTCATTGTCAATCTAGAGCGTACAGGCTGGTGTAACTGTGATGCGGGGATGGTTGGGTGGGCCTTTAGTGTGTGAGATAGGATAAGTATATAAATATACAATTTATTAGAAAATTTACAAATTTTTAAACTTATCCTATCTCACACTATGCATTTATCCCACAGTTGGATGGTGGGGCGCAGATACCCTAGCCTGTAAGGACCTCAACCTTCGGACGTACACGAGGAAGCTGGAAATATTCAGGAATTAAAAGGATTTTACAAGGATTAGTGATAAACTCGTGTAAGGGTTGCATCAAAAAACCCTCTTTGTGCTACCAAGAGATATACTTAAAAACCTATTCATTGGGATCGCTATTAAGTAAGAGATTTCTTGCTATAGGCATTGAAACCAATTGTGAGGTTTTACTTTCCAGTCGGGTTAAATCTCATAAACAGGGACGTTGTAATGTCCCTGGGATTTTATATAATATCCCTGGGATTTTATAGGATATTCAAGTCATATTTGCTATAATATCCCAGGGATTTTATATAATGTTCTGGGTATTTTATTAATGTAACTTCCATTCAGATTGTAACATGTAATGAAATGTAAAATCAAATGACAAATGTTTTCTTTATATTCCTGAGGATCGAACTCGCAACCTTCATATCTGTAGCCCGGTGAGTGTACCACGAGGCTACAGAGGTGTTGATAAGCCTCACTGGTTTTTAGAATGTCCTTTTCAAGATCCGTACGCCAGCAACAGATATTTTACTCATGTTTCCTAAGGTTCAAGGAAAGTATGTTTGAAACACAAAAATATTGATAAATGTTTCTTTTTTCGGTTTATAAGTATGGAAAAACACTTTCCCTCAGTTTTGGTAGACAGAGCATGCCCTGGGGGTCGGGAAAAAACGCGGGGGCTTCGCTCCCCAGGGCATGCTCTGTCTACCAAAACCTCGTGAGCATGTTTTCTCCAATACATCATGACATCGGGGAATCATGTGTTCCATGGTTTCACACAGGACACCCTTCCAAGAACGATCACGTAACCATGAGCCTGGTGACACCCACTCAGTCGCGACTTAAACCTCACCCCCGATAGGAGGAGGTGTTTTGTTTCAAACACCCCGTCCCCGGCGTAGGTTCTACAAGACAGGCCTCACACATACGCTCCCAAGGATGTAAGGCGGACCAGCTTGGCATCTCTTTTTTTGCTCCGTCATCCTATCAAACTCATGTAGAAGAAGAAGAAGAGGAAACGATGACGATACCTGTTTATCACACAGGACTTCAATCAACTACTGAGACATCGCATGCACAAAAGACAGAGGTGAGCATATAGAAGATCGGGACACCATTTAAACAAATGGCCGCACTGGATGGTGACTTCTATTGACGAAGGCCGAACAGACAGGCATATATACCCTCCTTCTGAGAGCTTGTCTGGGAAACCCGACTTGTAGTCCGCTGGGCTTCCTCATCTGCACTGTGTGTTGCTGTGACCTTGGATGTCGGCGATTGAAATTCCGAAAGGAGTAGGAGGTAAAGACCATATCAGAACGCCATAATATCCCTCCATGATGGCTGAGAGTGTGCACTACTATGCAACGCCAAGGTGGAGGTCACTGCCCTTGTTGCATGAGGATTGGAAGCAGCTGGGGTGGTAGTCATTCAAAGGTGTAGACCCTAAGGATGATAGAACACAGCCAGTGGAGATGGTGGTTTCGAGATAATCAGAAGTTGCAGCTGTCGACAAGTGGATGAAAAACTTGCTTGCGACAGCGACGGATGGTCCGGTCAAGTAGATCTGGTAGGCTCAGGCTGGGCACAGTGAGATGTCTTCCATGACATCAGCTCTCAATCAATGAGTGGTGGAGGCCGAAAAGACAATCCGGTTGTCCTTGAATGCTTATCTTGTTGAAGAGGTTGGAACCGGACTCAACTGACGTCTAAGCAAGAGTCCCTCTAACACGAGCTACAGGAGCCAGTGCAAGCAGAAAGATCGTCATGAATGTAAAGTTTGAGGTTTTATCCACAAGTGGTTCATAATCAGCCAGGAGAAGTGACGGAAAAATACAGCCAGTAGATGACTCATGGACACAGAGTCAGCAAGCAGACTGATAGAGATGATTGGAAGCCAGTGGATTATTTGGATGGACATAGGGATTGAGCAATTAGGTGATGGTAAGCAGGCGGGGTGTAGTAGCCTTGATCTCTGTTCATTGCTGGCTGGATCCTTTTGATGTAGATGGCGTCTAGGAGTTTCCTGATTTTGTAGTCTGATTGATTGTTGGCCAGGATCTTGATGTTGTTCCACTGGATGTTGTGGTCGGGGTGGGTTTGGGTGTGGTCGGATATGGCTGATTTTGAGTCATTTTTTTGTACTGAGGTCTTGTGTTCTTTTATTCTAATGGGTAGGGGCCTGGATGTTTCCCCTACATAGGAGTCACCACAGTCACATTGTATGTGATATACGGCACCAGCTGGGTCTTTTTTCTTTGATGTAGGGGGCCTGCCATTGGCACTGAGGATGTTCTGGATTGTCCTGCCTCTCTGGAATACTGTATCAATGTTGGAGTGGTGTTTGAGCAGTCTGCGGATCTGGTGGCTGGCTGTTCCTACGTAGGCGCTGATGAAAAAAAAAGGCTGTCTGTTGTCGTGGGGGCCGCTCTCTGGGGCTGAGGATGCTGTTGACTGTTTGTTCAACTAGGCTGGTAGGATAATTGTTGAAGTTAGTGAAGACATGGCGGAGGTGGTTGAGTTCAGTTTGTAGCTGTTGTGGCGTAGAAAAGATGTTGACAACACGTCGGGCTAAGGTGGCGATAATTCCTCTCTTGATTTGTGGTGGATGGTTAGAGGAATTGTACAGATACTGATCGGTATGGGTTGGTTTACGGTAGACACTGGAGTGGAGTTTGTTATCGTTGTCTTTCTGTACTCTTACATCTAGGAATGGTAGTTGTCTGTCAGCTGCTTCTTCCATAGTGTACTGCATCCATAGTAGCTTGGCTGCAGAAAACCCTGGATCTTGCAAACTGGAAAAAACTTTTCCATTTATCACAGAAATTCTTGTTGATTGACGAAGTGCTAAGGAGGCTGCCTTAGCTGCTCTAATGGAAAATCCTCTTACGAGACTGCTCTTGATATACACCTTACCTGAAGTTAGTATAATACTGGTCTTGGATGGACCTGATTGGAGGGATGATGCAGTAGATGTGACCAGTTTGGATGTCTTAGTAGTTGAATCTCTGCCAGTTTGACGAACTCTGGAACCCAAGATCTTGTCAGTCAGAAGGTGCTACCAACAGCAGTTGTAGGTAGCTCGTGTGTAGAATCTTTGTAGTATCCGTGGTATCAAGGCTGGTGGGGGAAACGCTGGTTTAGGTCCTCCCATGATATTGTCAGAGCATCGACTGATCAGGCTAGTGGGTCCGGCGCCGGTAACACAATGTTATCTGATGCAAATAGGGTTACTAGTAGACAACCTTTTCTTTTATTGCCAGTTGGAATGCTTCGGCCGTAGCTTCCATTCTGTTGGTGATAGTCTGGCTGGTCTGGACAAGGTGTCTGCTAATCCATTTGCCGCTCTCTGTATATGTCTTGCCTCTGTCGGTAAGTTGAGCTTGTCTACCACTGCAGGAGGGTCTCTGATTCCATTGTGCAGAGCTCCAGATAAGCTGCGTATCTGCATAAAATATGAATCAGAAATGCAGAAATACGCATACACAAATAAAATCCTAGCGTATCAAATACGCAACGAACATTACAGATAAGCTACAAAAATAAAACTTTTGTGTATCATCAAAATATTGTGAAGTAACCCTGCGTATTACTGATTACTGATTAGCAAATCAGTAACTTGTTTTGAAATTATATAAGGGCATTCCGTCAACCTTGCCAAAATCCACGATGACAGTTACATCACGATCATTTGCCATTACACTTTCTTGTGAAAGTATCGTGGTATTTTTGAGTCCTATGAAGCTCTCAAAACCACACGACACCAGTTTGCAGGGACTAGATGAATAGTGTTTTTAAATATTTAACTTAAATACCCACATGTGTAAAAACTAGTGGGTAACAGAAATTTGAATACCCAGATAGAATTACTGATACCCAATGATTTTAAAATGCATGGGTTAAATACCCACAACACCAAAAGCTTGTCTGGAGCTCTGATTGTGCCTTGAAGGTGTATAGTGTATGCCACAGTTGAAATGAGTGTCCCGATCATCAGACGTTGGTTTCTTGACTGTGGGGTCCAATGAAATATTGGCCGGATTACAGCCTCGTATTCCAGATAATTAATGTGGCAGAGCTGTCTGCTTTTGACCATAGGCCTGATGTTATTTCCAAGTTGAAGTGAGCTCCCCGACCTTGAAGTGAGACATCCATGAATAGGTGGTTGTTGTATTCCGGCTTGTGTAA